TATATATATATATATATATATATATATATAATGCCATGATATTTTAGGTTGTATTTTAGGATATCTTTGGTTGACATCAGCTGAATATCGCAAGGGTAGCCTAAATCCACAAAACTCTGGCGGTAATCACCTGTGTCTGCTAATGTCAACAAATATTGTGGGATTATATCTAATTAATGTGCACATTTTGAGCAAGATGACGATGAATAAAAGAATTATAATATGTATGGCGTTAAATGTTCAGTTTTTCTGGCTACTAATGAGTGTATGAATTATAAAGCGTTATCAATTTGAACTCATCAAGTCCAAGTTTTCCTCCATGCAGAATCTGAAGAAGGAATAAGAAATTGTTTCATCAAGATCTATAGCATCTTGCGCAACATTTTATCCTTATAAATAAATGAATGCCTTCTAATTATAGAGTGGCCAAAATCGATAGTCACAAAAAATATAATGAGGTATCCTGATAAATTGTTTATTTTAATGCAGGCGTTCGATCCTGAAACTGAATTTCATTTTAAAAACCGTGCTAGGCGATGGGATCGAGTGCATTATGAGGACGTATTTGGCGCAAACCAAACCTATGCAGTGAGTCCACCATTTAATACTTACAAGGAACCATATGGTTGGCTGGTCAATCTGATTAATAGGGTAAGTCAAGAATTTCTCTATTTGATGTATTTCATAGAATATTTAATATACTGTAGAACTTGTCATTTCAGTAATAGGCTGAGAGAAACAAATATTGTTTCCTGTAAGCCTACCCATATTTAGGGCAGACTTTTATTATCCCTTGTTTCGCGCACCCGCCGAATGAAAATAAAATTTTATTTCAGCGTAATTTTTCGCGCCCGCCAACTTGTGAGTGCAAAAAACTGCTAAAAAATTTTTTTTATCTTTCTTTTTTTTTCGCCCGCCGCCTAACAAATCCAAGTTGCATTTTCATGATCAAAGTACCGAAGTCTCGCGCAGATCTATACTTTATGCGTGTTGTTTGTGATGACACGCCGTGAAAATCTGTCGTCAAAAACCGAGAAATACCTTATTAATGCTGAAAATTGTGCCCCAATTGGCAACATTGCCAACTAGGTTATACATGGAATAAAAATTGATTTCACTTCTTTTCTTCGATCAATGATCTCACTTACAATTCTTTGAGAATCACACAAAACTCGAGAAACAAGGAATAAAAAAAGTCTAGCCTTATGATGAACCTCAAACTTTTATATATTACAGACATGTCCAAATTTTAGTGTATTTGTATGCAAATTAGCCATGTTACTCACAAAATTTACTTTGCTTGATATAGTAATTGGCTCCATTATTATGATCAACCTTAAACAGGGCTTGACATTCATGCTAGTCCTCTAGCTCAAACTTAAGACTGAAGGGTCATCACCTGTGCACGAGCAGGAATTAAGTCCCAAGCGATGATAACACGCGCTAAAAACACAAAGCACCATGGGTAGGTACTTGTTTGTAAACAATAAAACACGCTATGGCCATCTGACGCATGCGCAGGTGACGACTCCCCCCACTTTAACAATTCTGGCCAGGACTAGTAGAAGTGTCTTAGATGGTGGTTCCATAGACGAGTACTATTATTATTCAATACATATTCCATGATCGTGGTAAAATAGATCAATAACAATCTTATGGACATCACCATTTGGACATGTGATTGTTTGGGGGTGTGCACATGCAATTTTAATAGGGTATTCAAATTATTTTGTCATGAAGCCTTTTTTGCTTTGTTGGTAAGGTTCAGAAATATTTTCTTTGTTCAGTCAGGACAACCAATTTTTTATGCTGATTACCAGCATTTTCTTTTTGCTAGTTTTTTTACTAGTACTCTTTGTAGTTCTGTGTCCAGCCCAGACATTTATTTGGTGGTCATTCTTCTTTAAATGTGTATTAAATGCATTGTTGTGTTCGAATAACCCAATGACAGGTAGACCAATGGGGAAAATACTAATATGATTTATGCACATGTATAGCGCCCTCTAGTGATATGACACAGAAACTTTTTCTTCAATTTTTTGCTTGCTACTACTACTGTTATTATTTTCTCTTGATGCACAGTTTGCTGAGAAAAGTGGTTTTGAATCAGCCCGACAGCGAATGTTAGAATCTACCGAGGAGTTGGATGCACCGGTAAGCTTAGGATATTATCATTATTTTCCATGATTATTTTTATATTTAATAATTAATTATTGTAATTATTACAGTTGTGTTATCTGTTAATTTTAGTTGAAGTCTTCAAATCCTACTACAGAACATGCTGAACACAACCTTAGGAAAATGGCAAGAAATGTTAAAAGTTGTTATATCAATTTGAGAGAATGTTCATTAAAACAAGTGAACATCATAAACAGTCCTTTAGAGAATTCAAATTCTGATTTATTGAGAAGGCAGTTTTCAAATCACTTGACTTGGAGACAGCCTAAGGTGCTGAACACTTAAATACTATCAAACCTATGGAAATGCTTGGTAATGTTTTGCTATACCAAGGTTTTTTCCAAAAAAAAAATGCAGGAGGGAGCACTGCAATTCAGCGGCGCCACCAAGTGGGGAGATAGTGTTCTCCCTACGGGGGTGTGGAGTTTTTTGATAATTCTAAGTTAAATTGGAGCATTCTATGGCTTCTTTGGGGCCAAAATTACTATCAGACAGGTCACATTTGAAGACTGTGTCTACATGTGATCCCTGGTCAATAAGAATTTTATGGTTGCCAGAGGATCTGCTCTCCAGGGTGCATGGCCATTGCATGAGGGCGCTGCGCCCCTGTTCCCTTGTTTAAACAAATTCCTTCTATACGTGAATAATCCAATTGTTACATTTGATATATGGCACATACATATTTATCTCGTTTTAAGCTGGCTTAAATTGTACTGAGTAATCCGTCTACATATGTCTCATATCAATAACATAGGAAAATACTACAAAGAATAAGTTGAAATTAATGATGAATATTCACTTACAATTTGTAAGTTTTTATGAAATGATACTGTGAGTAACAAGTAACATTACACCTCTCCAAAAAGGGGCATCTTCTGCCAACAAGCTGATGCAGTGACTTTGATGTCAAAAAGTATAGTCATTCACTGTGACAGCTTCGTTTCAACTTGTAAACTTTTCAAAAGCAGTTTATTGAATGATGGATGACCATGATAACACATTGAATCAGTAGTGTGACTGTGAACGAACGCCCATCCTTTAATCATACATTTTTGTCACATTAATGTCCCACTTTTTGTTACAATTAGACATGGATGAAATAACATCTTTGTTTTTTCTCGGATCCCAGCTGATGGCTGCACTGCTCTTTCCATTTGGTCTGTGTGCAGAGTACTTAAACGCCCATAAAGTGTCCAATATATTACAGCCAATGATGGAGAAAGCTATTAAATATGTACAAGGCCTTGAAGATAATGATCTCAGACATAAGGTAAACCTTTCATTAATTGAACCAACTTTGAAAGTTGCTGAAATTAGTAACCTCATTTTCACAAACAGTATGTTATCAGACACCTAGATCCAGTAAAAATGACCATGTAAATGCATTCAGCTCCAATAACTCGGGTTATAACTCTATTAAGGACTGAGCCCATGACATGGCCTCAGTCAAAGGTGCTGCTGTAGCTTAGCCCAAATAAACTGGGCTGAACAAATAATATAATGTATAAGAGGTATCAACAAATCTGTATTAGATGCTGCATCTCTAATAGAAGTCGCACCTATTCTTTTTAAACAATTGAGAACCAAAAAGTTCATCGTTCCTCATATGTGTAGATGCTGTAATAGAAGTCGCATACTCTCTGTTGCATTGTACCATTTTAATAGAAGTCGCAGCTTCTAATACAGATTTTACAGTAATCGCTGTTAATTGTTGGGAGGATAATTGTTCTGCCCTGATGAAATGCTGCCATGTAAACCTAGCATATATTTTTTTGAATCAATGCTTGTGTAGTTAACACCTCGCTTGCAGAAAGCTTGGACAGATGAACGATTAAAATTTACATTAGTAGGTGATGTGTCAAAGATGTCAACAAAGGTAATTTCATGAAGTGTGAAACATGCATACACTGAAATACTGAAAAGTGTAACTGTAGTTTTATTTCTTTTCATTAAACGTGAAGGCAAATTGTTAGCATCTGAATAAGATCATTTTCTGACAGGTTGCTAAGGGAAAATATCAAATTACTGTTTTAGTAAAAAAAATCAAGTAGTCTATCGGGTGTTGTAACTAATAGGATTATGGTACTAGATGTTAGAAATGTGAAATTATTCTAATACTCTTATTCTAATAATATGTAAATACCTGGTATATTTTGTGATGTGAATGGGTTGTGTCAAAGTGGGTGTAACCATTGAAATTTGACATTTTGCAATTACAGAAATCAGGTAGTGTATCGGATCTCCTGTCTTCCATGAAGTTACTATGTATGCACTTATGGACCGATGACGTTACAGCCATCGATGACTTACGATTAGAAATTGCACTCAAGATGCTGAAATCACCGCACTTCAATGCCAAAATGAATAGCCTCAAAGAGGTTTGTAAACAATTGTCTTTATGTTTCCACAAGTGTGTACAACACTGTCATCCTTTT